TAAACGAAATTTCGTTAATCCCAAACCTGTTTACAACACTAGTATCAATGCGCTCTGTCTTCCTTTCATATCTGAACTCAAAAATCTTACTAATATCTTTCGTCCTCGTGACATAAGCTCGCCTTACGGCAAACTAACACTTTTCGCAGTAATGTGGTTCGCACTGCTCTTCCTGCTTCTAATGCTGCTGGTGTCTACTCTATTTCCTGCTCGTCTTGTCCTCTCCAATACTTGGGGAAAAAGGCCGTACACTAAATGATAGACTTATGGAACACAAAAAAGTGTTAAGTCTGCAGACACAAACAATGCTCTCTTCTATCATGTTAGGGATTCTAATCATCCTATTGATTGATCTTCTAAAATAATCTTTCCGGCCTCCACTCTACACATACGCCGTCTTGTCGTATCGGCTCTGATACACAACGTACGCAACATGAACTTGAGTCCTGGATTTGTTGCTGTTGATTCTTCCCTTCCACAGTATATACTCAAATGCTCTAACCTTTCTAGCAAACATAATCTGGCTTAAACGTTGCCCCTTTCTTTTATTCTTACCCCATTTTCTTATTCTTACCGTCCTCTTATTCTCATCCTATTCTTACCTTTCATCTTATTCTTTCCCTTTTCTCTTACGTGCTCCTCACCTCTCACCTCACTCTTAACTTATTTATTTGTCTGTCCTTTCCTCTCTTCTGTCCTGTCCTTTCTGTTTACGGGCTCACTATAACCAGTGCTACGTGCACATTTCGTTCTGAGTAGCTAAATGTAAAACATCAAACACCCTTTCTTCCATCACATGACCTGATAATGGTCCAGGACGGTCCGAAACGTCGTCGCTTATTAATTTTTGGTAATTATTGTATTGGGATTAGAAGTTGAAATCATCTTCGTTAGTTGAGAGATGAGTAGTGACGTGCTTGTGTGGCGGGAGGAGTGAGGTGGAGGACTGGTGGATAGATGTGGAGAGGGGCTGGTTGAGAGAGGTGGAGGGAGGCTGGTATCAGAGAAGTGAATGGGCTGGTGGTGGGAAGAAAGGGACTGGAGGAGGGAGAAGTATGGCGGCAACCACAGCGCATCATCAGTTGACACCTCTGAGCCAGGCTGGCGTGAATGTAGCTATAATTACTCGTAATAACAAAAAAATGTGGCCACCGTGTTCCGTCCAGTAACCCCAATCCTCGCTCGAGACCTCATCTCCCCCAACCTTGAGACAGCACCCCCCCACCTCCCCCCGTCAAGACAGCAGCTCCCGTCGAGACAACAGCCCCCGTCGAGACCACACTCTCTGTCGAGACCACACCCCCTGTCGAAACGGCACCTCCCTCCCTGCAACCCCCAAATCTTAATGCCCCCTCACTGGAGAGAAAGTCTCAGCAAGGTTCGTGGCGGTAACGGCTCTCTTCTTCAGGTAATCGCCGTAAATCTGGACCAGAGCAAGATAACTGGGTTCGTGTATCTCCAAGGTTGTTACAACACGGTGTGTGATGAGTCAGGTGGTGAGGACGTGTCATGGGGGAGACCTGAGGGACGTCCAGGTTAAGGGAGGCTTCACTCGCCCTCAACACCATGGTCACGCCGGGCGGGAGGCCAGGATCACTACCAACGGTGCGTCGCAATCACCGACGGGGCGGCCTGTGTGAGTCCGCCCTCTTTATGTGACCAAGTACTTGCTTGTATTTCCCCGTTTCTTCCTGCGCTTTGCAGATAAGGTGTGGCTGGCTGGGCCAAACCACGTCTTATTGAACATTGTTTTATGTAGCATTTTCGGGTTGGTCGCCCTCTCAGTGGGCTTGGCAGCTGAGTGGACAGCGCTTGGGATTCGTAGTCCTGAGGTTCCGGGTTCGATCCCCGGTGAAGGGGGGAACAAATGGGCAGAGTTTCTTTCACCCTGATGCACTTGTTCACCTAGCAGTAAATAGGTACCTGGGAGTTTGGACAGCTGCTTCCTGAGGGTGTGTAACATAAAGGAGTCCTGATCGAGGACCGGGCCGCGGGGACGCTAAACCCCGAAATCATCTCAAGATAACCTCAAGATGGAGTGGTCTTCACATACTGACTGACTTCCCCCAACCTTCTCCTGCGCTTTGTTACCTTTTCTCTCTTTCCTTTTCCTTGCTCTCTCATGTTTGTGAGCGGAGCGTAGTGAGCCGCGGGGCAGGCGTCACCACCGCGGCCTCCTGGGGTAGTGAGCCGCGGGGCAGGAGTCACCACCGCGGCCTCCGGGGGTGGTGATGCAACCCTTCACTCGCCGCCTCGCGCCTCACCACTGCCTCAATCTTCCATTTCTTATTTTGCTCTTGTTATCATGATTAGTTTGTGAAGTTATTTGAGTATTTTAATACTTGTATTTCATTGTCCCTTGTGACCTCCTGAGTCACACGGTTGTCTTGAGATGATCTTGAGATGATTTCGGGGCTTTAGTGTCCCCGCGGCCCGGTCCTCGACCAGGCCTCCACCCCCAGGAAGCAGCCCGTGACAGCTGTCTAACACCCAGGTACCTATTTTACTGCTAGGTAACAGGAGCATAGGGTGAAAGAAACTCTGCCCATTGTTTCTCGCCAGCGCCTGGGATCGAACCCAGGACCACAGGATCACAAGTACAGCGTGCTGTCCGCTCGGCCGACCGGCTCCCGTTGCCGACGGTGACCCCAACATGGCGACCAGTTCCCACAATTTGACACACGTCAAACCTGATGAGGTTTTGTTTATTCTGAAGCGTGAGAGCCTTCACGAGGCCGAGGTTCATGTGGCCGAGGCGTGAGAGCCTTCACGAGGCCGAGGTTCATGTGGCCGAGGAATCACCACTCCTCAGGTGTTTTTAACTTCATTAAAGTCAACATTTTGACGCTGTTGACAACGTCAAATTTGCGGTGCATTAAGTGTGAGGACAGGTTGAATATGCAGGATATATCCACGAGTACCTCGGCCTCCACGGGTACCTCGGCCTCCACGGGTACCTCGGCCTCCACGGGTACCTCGGCCTCCACGAGTACCTCGGCCTCCACGGGTACCTCGGCCTCCACGGGTACCTCGGCCTCCACGGGTACCTCGGCCTTCACTATAATGTTGGTCAAAATACATGTCTGTAGTTTGATGGGATCTGTGTTTCAGACATGACTGTGACGTGTACTGTCTGTCAGCTCAGGCCCTCAGTACTTACTGGTGATAACTACCACCAGTCATCATGTGTAACTACCACCAGTCATCGTGTGTAACTACCACCAATCATCGTGTGTAACTACCACCAGTCATCGTGTGTAACTACCACCAGTCATCGTGTGTAACTACCACCAGTCATCTTGTGTAACTACCACCAGTCATCGTGTGTAACTACCACCAGTCATCTTGTGTAACTACCACCAGTCATCATGTGTAACTACCACCAGTCTTCGTGTGTAACTACCACCAGTCATCGTATGTAACTACCACCAGTAATCGTGTGTAACTACCACCAGTCATCATGTGTAACTACCACCAGTCATCGTGTGTAACTACCACCAGTCATCGTGTGTAACTACCACCAGTCATCTTGTGTAACTACCACCAGTCATCTTGTGTAACTACCACCAGTCATCATGTGTAACTACCACCAGTCATCGTGTGTAACTACCACCAGTCATCGTGTGTAACTACCACCAGTCATCGTGTACAACTACCACCAGTCATCGTGTACAACTACCACCAATCATCGTGTACAACTACCACCAATCATCGTGTACAACTACCACCAATCATCGTGCACAACTACCACCAGTCATCTTGTGTAACTACCACCAGTCATCTTGTGTAACTACCACCAGTCATCGTGTGTAACTACCATCAATCATCGTGTACAACTACCACCAGTCATCGTGTGTAACTACCACCAATCATCGTGTACAACTACCACCAGTCATCGTGTACAACTACCACCAGTCATCGTGTGTAACTACCACCAGTCATCGTGTACAACTACCACCAATCATCGTGTACAACTACCACCAATCATCGTGTACAACTACCACCAGTCATCGTGTGTAACTACCACCAATCATCGTGTACAACTACCACCAGTCATCGTGTGTAACTACCACCAATCATCGTGTACAACTACCACCAGTCATCGTGTGTAACTACCACCAGTCATCGTGTACAACTACCACCAATCATCGTGTACAACTACCACCAATCATCGTGTACAACTACCACCAGTCATCGTGTGTAACTACCACCAATCATCGTGTACAACTACCACCAGTCATCGTGTGTAACTACCACCAATCATCGTGTACAACTACCACCAATCATCGTGTACAACTACCACCAGTCATCGTGTACAACTACCACCAGTCATCGTGTGTAACTACCACCAGTCATCGTGTACAACTACCACCAATCATCGTGTACAACTACCACCAGTCATCGTGTACAACTACCACCAATCATCGTGTACAACTACCACCAATCATCGTGTACAACTACCACCAATCATCGTGTACAACTACCACCAATCATCGTGTACAACTACCACCAATCATCGTGTACAACTACCACCAGTCATCGTGTACAACTACCACCAATCATCGTGTACAACTACCACCAGTCATCGTGTACAACTACCACCAATCATCGTGTACAACTACCACCAGTCATCTCTACTGACTCCTTGTACATCCACTTAGTCAAGAACATTATGTGGAGATATATTTTAAACATCAGCAGAGTCCTTCGGCAAGGAAACTTGCAATTATAACTCGTCTATGTAGAGATGAGAGACGCCCTTATCACAGTAGGAGATACCGGCGGCTGGGTCGCTGGAGTCAGCGCTAATGTGATCATAGTTCCCCCTCAAAGCCCTCCGGACACAACGTAATTTAACACACTATTATCTTGATCGGTTCATTTAGTGTCGGATATAATACGAGTCCGCTGAATATAATAATGTTACTTCGGTGTTAGATTTCTTAAGTTTATAATGTTAATTACAAATGTTGAAGTTGCACAAAAACTGTTGAACTTACCTGTTTGGTAGCCGATGCGTGGCTAGTGAAGGAAGGTCGCTTCCTGCGGTGATTCTTGCGGGTTGATCTGTGCCACTGAATGTTTGTAATGTTCTGTGATGTTTATTCTGAGCCCTGGTGGAGGAGGACCGGTAAGACAAACACGCTGTGTCTACACACACACACACACACACGCACACGCACACGCACACACACACACACACACACACGCATACGCACACGCACACACACACACCGACCTCACATCACGAGCCGCTCACAAGGCCAAATACACCGCGACCTTCCCTACAGAACGCTCACTTGGGGTTGCTTACGCTGTGTCGTACTAATTAGTCACTAAAGCTGCATGACTGCCAAGTGTGCTCAGCCGTCCTCAAGGGTTGTGCCACTGGTGGCTAAGGCAACACATGCCAGTTTAGTGCTGTTGGAGGAGCTGATACGCTATACAGTAAACAGTTCTGAGCGTTCATTCAATAGGAGCATAGATCTAAATGTTTCTGAAATTGTTGCTTCTCAATCACCGTCTATCAGTTACATGACTTGGTGAGCATGGAATGAAAAGTAAAAGATGTTATTACTAATTGAGAACAAAAAGTTGTTATGAATTGAGAACAAAAATTACTAAACGAATGAAAAAAAATATTTATTCAAAAAGTAAATAAATTTATATATTTAGTCACAACGGAAAGTGATTGATGTGTGCTCGTGATGGACAGGTCAGAGGGTGCTCGTGATGGACAGGTCAGAGGGTGCTCGTGATGGACAGGTCAGAGGACTGTGCTAACTTTTCCTCAACTCAAGCATTTTGTATGTCTATAAAAACGTTAAGGAAACCTTTTGGGGAAATATAAGAAGCTACTTAAAACTGTACACAAATGATCTCAGCAGCGCTATACTGGTAATGTTTTCATAATCCTTTTATAAAATTACATTTAACTGTTCCCGAAATTTATAAAAAAAAAAGTTAAAAAAAAACGGTATTTGGTTGTAAATAATTAAAGTAGATCATTGTGTTGACGCATCCGCGTGAGCGCGTATGGCAACACTTGTTCTTGAAGATCCAACACACCTCACCAACACCTCCACGTCGCCTCTCTCTCTATCTCTCTCTCTTTCTCCAGCCTTCACGTCTCGCCCCTCTGCTGTGTGTGTGTGTGTGTGTGTGTGTGTGTGTGTGTGTGTGTGTGTGTGTGTGTGTGTGTGTGTGTGTATGTGTATGATATTTTGGTAGCAGTCTTTCTTGCGAATATATGTTGTTTAAATATGACCGAAAGGGTAAAATTTATGATTCTAACACGAATCTTCTTAATATTTCTTACGTTTTCCTTTACTTCACTGTCGAGGGAAGTTGAAAAATTAACACCCCAAACTTCCATTTTACATTCTACTATAATTTGGCGCCTGTGGATGCGTTTTGCAAAGTACACCTTACACTTTCAAAGACAAGTTTACTGTGCTGAACATCGAATTATATACTCTTTGAGTGAGGTGGTGGATGAATGCCATAACAAGGGGTATTAACATTCATCCTCAACATCACCCAAAGAGTATATAATTTGATGTTTAAAAAAGTATAATTGTCTTTGAAAATGTAAGGTGTTCCTTGCGAAACGCATCCCCCATGCGTCACACTATAGTAGAGTGTAAAAATTAACTTTTGAGAGCTAATTTTTCATCTTCCCTCGACAGTGAAGGAAAACGTAAGAAATATTTAGAAGATTCGTGTTAGAATCATTAATCTTACTCTTTCGGTCATATTCAACAATATATATTTGCAAGAAAGACTGTTACCCATATATATATATATATATATATATATATATATATATATATATATATATATATATATATATATATATATATATATATATATATATATATATATATATCTCAGTGGGTTCAACTTAAGCTAAGGCTTGAGATGATTCATGGTTGTTGGTTAAGTTTATGTGCAAGGGGGAGAGTGTGAGGGAAGGAGTGTGCAGGCAAGGAGGGGAGTGCCAGGCACTCTAGGCACCGACACTCCCACACGCTGTCTCCGTGATTTGTGGATGTTCTCCGGAAGACAAAAAGTCTATTATGACGTGTTAGCGTCTGCACAGAGCTCTCTACACCCTCTGGTATCTCTGAAAGAATTCAGAGGTGTATTTTGAGGCCTTGCTCTGGTGTCTCTGAATTAGTAATACAACACTGTTTTTCCGGCACTTAAGCCGCGCTACAGACGCCAATAGCAGAGCGGCGATCCTACATGAGGTGTGGAGGTGGTGATGAGGAGGGGCAATGTGGGACCCAAGTAATGCACCTCGACAAGTCCACAGTGGCTGGGGTCCGGTGGAGAGCCACAACACCGCACACGTTCACACTACAGAGCCGCAGACCCGAGTGCCTTACTGACACACTGCCACTCACCACGGGCCTTCTCCTGCCTCATTCAGCCCCGCCTCCTTCCCCATTAAGCCCCCCCCCCTTCTCCTCAGCACAACCATGCACCCTCAGAATCTCCCCCCTCCCGGCACCCCCAGGCACCCCCAGGCACCCACAAGAACCCCTCGGCACTCAACGGCACTCCCAGGCACCCCCGGCACACCACAACGTTCACTCCATCACTCTCGCTTCAGCCTTCTCTCTCACTCTGGTCTCGCGCGAGTTCACTACCTGCATGTGTTGACGGGTGGGCCACTCTCCCTGTGCACTCCTGCCTCTCACACTCCTGCCTCTCACACTCTTGCCTCTCACACTCTTGCCTCTCACACTCTTGCCTCTCACACTCTTGCCTCTCACACTCCTGCCTCTCACACTCCTGCCTCTCACACTTCTGCCTCTAACACTTCTGCCTTTCTCACTCCTGCCACTCACACTCTTGTCTCTCACACTCCCGCCTCTCACACTCCTGCCTCTCACACTTCTGCCTCTAACACTTCTGCCTTTCACACTCCTGCCTCTCACACTTCTGCCTCTCACACTTCTGCCTTTCACACTCCTGTCTCTCACACTCCTGTCTCTCACACTCTTGCCTCTCACACTACTGCCTGTAATACTCCTGCCACTCACACTCTTGTCTCTCACACTCCTGCCTCTCACACTCCTGTCTCTCACACACCTGTCTCTCACACTCCTGCCACTCACACTCTTGTCTCTCACACTCCCGCCTCTCACACTCCTGCCTCTCACACTCTTGTCTCTCACACTCCTGTCTCTCACACTCCTGTCTCTCACACTCCTGCCTCTCACACTCCTGCCTCTCACACTCCTGTCTCTCACACTCTTGTCTCTCACACTCCTGCCTCTCACACTCCTGTCTCTCACACTCTTCCCTCTCACACTCCTGTCTCTCACACTCCTGTCTCTCACTCACTTCTGTCTCTCCCACTACTGTCTCTCACACTACTATCTCTCACACTACTGTCTCTCACACTACTGTCTCTCACTCACTTTTGTCTCTCACACTACTGTCTCTCACACTACTATCTCTCACACTACTGTCTCTCACACTACTGTCTCCCACTCATTTCTGTCTCTCACACTACTGTCTCTCACTCACTTTTGTCTCTCACACTACTGTCTCTCACACTACTATCTCTCACACTACTGTCTCTCACACTACTGTCTCTCACTCACTTCTGTCTCTCACACTACTGTCTCTCACACTACTGTCTCTCACACTACTGTCTCTCATTCACGTCTGTCTCTCATTCACGTCTGTCTCTCACACTACTGTCTCTCACACTACTGTCTTTCACACTACTGTCTCTCACACGACTGTCTCTCACTCACTTCTGTCTCTCACACTACTGTCTCTCACACTACTGTCTCTCATATTCCTGTCTCTCACACACTCTTGCCTCTCACACTACTACCTCTCACACTACTGTCTCTCACACTACTGTCTCTCACACTTCTGCCTCTCACACTCCTGTTTCTCATACTCATGTCTCTCACACTCCTGCCTCTCACACACCTGTCTCTCACACTTCTGCCTCTCACACTCCTGTCTCACACTTCTCTCTCACTCCTGTCTCTCACACTACTGTCTCTCACACTCCTGTCTCTCACACTCCTGTCTCTCACACTCCTGTCTCTCACACTACTGTCTCTCACTCACTTTTGTCTCTCACACTACTGTCTCTCACACTACTATCTCTCACACTACTGTCTCTCACACTACTGTCTCTCACTCACTTCTGTCTCTCACACTACTGTCTCTCACACTACTGTCTCTCACACTACTGTCTCTCATTCACGTCTGTCTCTCACACTACTGTCTCTCACACTACTGTCTTTCACACTACTGTCTCTCACACTACTGTCTCTCACTCACTTCTGTCTCTCACACTACTGTCTCTCACACTACTGTCTCTCACACTACTGTCTCTCACACACTCTTGCCTCTCACACAACTACCTCTCACACTACTGTCTCTCACGCTACTGTCTCTCACACTTCTGCCTCTCACACTCCTGTTTCTCATACTCATGTCTCTCACACTCCTGCCTCTCACACACCTGTCTCTCACACTTCTGCCTCTCACACTTCTGCCTCTCACACTCCTGTCTCACACTTCTCTCTCACTCCTGTCTCTCACACTACTGTCTCTCACACTCCTGTCTCTCACACTCCTGTCTCTCACACTACTGTCTCTCACACTCCTGTCTCTCACACTCCTGTCTCTCACACTACTGTCTCTCACACTACTGTCTCTCACACTACTGTCTCTCACACTCTTGCCTCTCACACTCCTGCCTCTCACACTCCTGTCTCTCACATTCCTGTCTCTCACACTCCTGCCCCTCACACTACTCCCTCTCACACACTCTTGCCTCTCTAACTACTACCTCTCACACTACTACCTCTCACACTTCTGTCTCTCACACTACTGTCTCTTACACTCCTGCCTCTCACACACTCTTGCCTCTCACACTACTGTCTCTCACACTCCTGTCTCTCACATTCCTATCCCTCACACTCCTGTCTCTCACACTCCTGTCTCTCACATTCCTGTCTCTCACACTACTGTCTCTCACACTCCTGTCTCTCACACTACTGTCTCTCACGCTCCTGTCTCTCACACTACTGTCTCTCACACTCCTGGCTCTCACACTCCTGGCTCTCGCAATACTGTCTCTCACGCTCCTGTCTCTCACACTTCTGTCTCTCACACTACTGTCTCTCACAATCCTGGCTCTCACACTACTGCCTGTAATACTCCTGTTTCTCACACTACTGTCTCTCACACTCCTGTCTCTCACTTTCCTGTCTCTCACATTCCTGTCTCTCACATTCCTGTCTCTCACACTACTGTGTCTCACACTCCTTTCACACTCCTGTCTCTCCTACTCCTGTCTCTCACACTCCTGCCTGTCACACTACTGTCTCTCACACTACTGTCTCTCACACTCCTGTCTCTCACTTTCCTGTCTCTCACATTCCTGTCTCTCACACTCCTGTCTCTCACAATATTGTCTCTCACACTCCGGTGTTTCACACTACTGTCTCTCACACTGTCAATCCGTCCAACAATCATCACTCATTAAGTGACTTAAGTGTGCCTGTAATTAAAATTGGATGATGATGATAGCAGGTGACTGTATTTGGCAGCCAGTGCTTCCCTCACACCGTGTGGAGGCCACAAGTGCTTCCTTTCACTGTGGAAGCCTCACAGTGCTTCCCTCACACCGTGTGGAGGCCACAAGTGCTTCCTTTCACTGTGGAAGCCTCACAGTGCTTCCCTCACACCGTGTGGAGGCCACAAGTGTTTCCTTTCACTGTGGAAGCCTCACAGTGCTTCCCTCACACCGTGTGGAGGCCACAAGTGCTTCCTTTCACTGTGGAAGCCTCACAGTGCTTCCCTCACACCGTGTGGAGGCCACAAGCGTTTCCTTTCACTGTGGAAGCCTCACAGCGCTTCCCTCACACCGTGTGGTGGCCACAAGCGTTTCCTTTCACTGTGGAAGCCTCACAGCGCTTCCCTCACACCGTGTGGTGGCCACAAGTGTTTCCTTTCACTGTGGAAGCCTCACAGCGCTTCCCTCACACCGTGTGGTGGCCACAAGCGTTTCCTTTCACTGTGGAAGCCTCACAGCGCTTCCCTCACACCGTGTGGTGGCCACAAGTGTTTCCTTTCACTGTGGAAGCCTCACAGTGCTTCCCTCACACCGTGTGGTGGCCACAAGTGTTTCCTTTCACTGTGGAAGCCTCACAGCGCTTCCCTCACACCGTGTGGTGGCCACAAGCGTTTCCTTTCACTGTGGAAGCCTCACAGCGCTTCCCTCACACCGTGTGGTGGCCACAAGCGTTTCCTTTCACTGTGGAAGCCTCACAGCGCTTCCCTCACACCGTGTGGTGGCCACAAGTGTTTCCTTTCACTGTGGAAGCCTCACAGCGCTTCCCTCACACCGTGTGGTGGCCACAAGCGTTTCCTTTCACTGTGGAAGCCTCACAGCGCTTCCCTCACACCGTGTGGTGGCCACAAGTGTTTCCTTTCACTGTGGAAGCCTCACAGTGCTTCCCTCACACCGTGTGGTGGCCACAAGTGTTTCCTTTCACTGTGGAAGCCTCACAGCGCTTCCCTCACACCGTGTGGTGGCCACAAGCGTTTCCTTTCACTGTGGAAGCCTCACAGCGCTTCCCTCACACCGTGTGGAGGCCACAAGTGTTTCCTTTCACTGTGGAAGCCTCACAGTGCTTCACTAACACCAAGAGGAAGCCTCACAGTGCTTCACTAACACTAAGAGGAAGCCTCACAGTGCTTCACTAACACCAAGAGGAAGCCTCACAGTGCTTCACTAACACTAAGAGGAAGCCTCACAGTGCTTCACTAACACCAAGAGGAAGCCTCACAGTGCTTCACTAACACCAAGAGGAAGCCTCACAGTGCTTCACTAACACCAAGAGGAAGCCCCACAGTGCTTCACTAACACCAAGAAGAAGCCACACAGAGCTTCACTAACACCAAGAGGAAGCCTCACAGTGCTTCACTAACACCAAGAGGAAGCCTCACAGTGCTTCACTAACACCAAGAGGAAGCCACACAGAGCTTCACTAACACCAAGAGGAAGCCCCACAGTGCTTCACTAACACCAAGAGGAAGCCACACAGTGCTTCACTAACACCAAGAGGAAGCCTCACAGTGCTTCACTAACACCAAGAGGAAGCCTCACAGTGCTTCACTAACACCAAGAGGAAGCCACACAGAGCTTCACTAACACCAAGAGGAAGTCCCACAGTGCTTCACTAACACCAAGAGGAAGCCACACAGAGCTTCACTAACACCAAGAGGAAACCTCACAGTGCTTCACTAACACCAAGAGGAAGCCTCACAGTGTTTCACTAACACCAAGAGGAAGCCACACAGTGCTTCACTAACACCAA